TAATAGTAGTACAAAGTTGCTAACCTCGGCCATTTTTTAACCTGAATCATCATCACCTATAAAAAGGGTTCCATCGGCCTCCATGGGATCGATCACATCCACATTCTTCATATCAACAACTTTAGGGGACAAAGAATGATTGTTACCATCCAGTCAAATCCCAATTCGCAACTCGATATGGTGTAAAATGGTGAAATTACAAGCTCCGGATGGTGTCCACACGATCAATCACATCGAGGGCTTTCATGCGATCAATGTCAAAATCGATGATGGGAACAGAAAAAGGACTTCTGTTTGAGAAAGTTTCCTTCTTACTACTCTTCATCATCTCGCCCATCATCGGCGAGTGGCTACTGCTTTTGCTCAGCCTGTGGTGCTTACAAAGCCGCACCGTGGCAAACTCTTGGCTCTTGCTTATTCCTGGCGTTTTTCTCCTCTTGCTCACGTCTCTAAGCATCTCTTGATCCTCCATAGTCAGCAATGGAGATCCCAGACTTTGGTTGTGTGAACCACTGGAGAGTTGGATCGTTTTCTGGTTAGGTGATCTGATTGGAGACTTAACCGGAGATCTTAGGCCAAAACCGGTAGTGGCCCTGACTTGGGTAACGAGATGATGAAGCCATACCACCAGGTCTAATATGTAACCCTCAGTTTTTTCTTTATCTGCATGGTGAAGTGTATCTATCCTTAGTATGGTCTGACCTGCAGGTCTCTGGTTCGAATCTGACCTGAAATTATTTTTCATAATTTATCATTCAGAAAGGAACGCACATGTATGCATATATACACAACACAGAGACAATAGCATAAGAATCAGCTTGTCCTCAGGACGTACCCGGAACTTGCCCATTCTCCAACCCATCCAAACCCGTGATGCGCCCTGGTTCAGAAAAGAAATGACATAAGAATAAGTTTGACTTACTTTAATACTTAAAACTAAGGGGGTGTTGTAGCGTGTAACGCGACTGAGTTGAGAGAAAATTAAGACAGCTAACATGTTCAATAGACCCACTGAAAAATACATGGGTTAAGTGAGGACGAAATTCTAATGTGGTGAGCACGAAGACATCGTAGAAGCTTACTTGGTTGTGTTTGTAGCAACAGGAACAAGCCACTGCAACGTTTTTTCCATTTCGGCTTTTATTTGAGGTACAGTGAGCTGGTTAAAACAAATTAGATACCATGTGGTGAGCAGGCATATATATAACATTTCAAGTAATAGTGCACGTCGTAAATTCATTTGGTCAGAACACAGACAATAAGGACAGTGTGGATAATACTTATACCTCTTCCTTAACCTGGAAGGCCTGTATTTTGGAGCGTAAAGCAGATTTTATACTTGGGGGTAAACCTTGGTATAAAGCATCTCTTGTGCTTGCAGGCATAGTGCTAGACCGGGACACCTACTCATAGAAACGAGAAAATAACTTAATTTGAGATAAATTCCACAAACCAACGTTGATATTTGATAATGGTATGGGTCCAATCATATTGGTATTGACACTGCTAATGCTTAGTGGTAGATCATTAATAAGATCGAGTAACCACTGATATGAGAAACAAACAATTCACAATCCCATGCGACTAGAATTTGGACAACAGGCCAAACACGGAAAGTAAAACGAACTGATGAAAAGAATATTAACTTACAAGAGTATCAATTTGAGTAATGATGTTTGCATAGTGCAAGGCAAGACCAGCAGAGCCCAATTTTTTATGATTCATTGGCAGGTCATTTGCAGGCTTATCAGGATCTGCAAATCAGGTAGAATGATCATGATTTGTAAGTACATGTTTCATTTTAGATACAAGAAAAAACTAAATCCTCAATCTTTCCAAAAGCTGAAATAAGCCTAAAACGCTTTATCCAATAATCGAGCCTCACCCGCACCACCAAAGGCTTCATGAATCTCTAAATGCAAGAAATGAACAACGTCTACGAGTTTCTCCATAACCTAAGCATTATCAGTATTTTCAAGAATTAACAATGGAATCCAGATGAGCCAAGATACTTCTCAAAAAAGGAAATATTATTGGTTTATCAGTTTGCAGCCCTTACCTCTTCCAAGATCCTAGACCAAAGAGATTTTTTCTTTAAGTTTCTTACATGCTTCTTCTGACTCTTTAATTCAGTTCTCAAGATAGCAAGGGTATCTCCCACACCTTACATGGAAATAACACAAATAGAATAGTCGTTAGAATGATAACCAACAAAACAGAAGACAAGGGAGAACAAAAATCAACATCATCCATTTCCACGTATATATCTAGTGGATTTAGTCAATCAGAACATATATGACTATATGGTTCATTTGGTACCTACCTCGTTGTACTGTGCTTGGGTTCTCTTCTTCCTGGATCTTACGTTGGTAATCTTGTTCAAATCTATCCAGTGCATGGAGTTCATGATACAAGTCCTAAAACCATAGCAATAATCAGACTAAATCGTCATTGAGAGTAAACAGAACCAAATATCATCAGTTTGCATTAATATACGTACAGCTGTAAAATGAACAAACGTCATCAGCTGGTGCATTATGGTTTCTGCTTCCTGTTTCAAATGTTTCTGGGGTGTAAATTCAGAGCCCAACCTAAATCATAACACAGAACTAATGAAAGGTCAGAGATACTTCCAAAAACATAGACCTATTGTGTGACCAAAGTGACAGGATCATGTTGGAACCTATCAAAGAAGCGATCCAGGTTGTGGTATTGAGGATCCTTGCAACGATTCCCAAAACGCACCACTTCTCCAGAAAAAATCTTCAACTCTTCCCTGTAAACGATAGATTATTTGAACGGTCACTTATCTACAAACTACAAACAGAAACAGAGTAAAGAGACATCAACACAGAACACTGTCACATATTGTTACCTTTTATCTGCAGCAGCTATTCTCAACAGTTCATCCATGTCTTTCGATATTAGGTTTTGTACACCTTCTGAAGGTAACACTGCCTCTTTTAAATGTGTGATGCTATCTTTTGAAAGAGAATGCATAAGATTGGCGCCTTTAACGATTGTGTTAGCGACTTCAAAAGACAAGATTGAGATCTTATTCCCTTTTGTTGTCGTCGCAGAAGAAAATCCCCCACTAAGGTTCAGATTCGTCATGCTACTCCCGAGTGTGTCCAACACGTCCACAGCTTTACCAAGTCCCATAGTGCCAGCTCTTCCCAAAAGAGAGCTTACTTCTGAAACCTATAAACAGAAATACCTTAGTCAAGTCACCCAATCCGAACCTACCGAGACCATATAAGAGATAAAATGGACTCAGAACTAACAAAAAAGTCTAACATTGTTGTTTACCTTGGCCACAGCAGCTTGCCTAGACTTAGTGGATCTTGATTTCTGAGATAAAATCCTCGATAACCGGGGAATCCCGTCCTCGATATTCTGAGGATGAGATCCACCAGGGGCATTGTTCAGATTGGGAAACGAAAACGATTCTGATGATGGCTTATTGTCCACATTCTCCCTCACCGGAGAAAGATCACCATCTTTAGGTCCTTGTTCACCGGAATGGGAATTCACCTCAGACCCATTATTGAGATGACCATTAACATGTGGAAAGGTTCCACCAGGAGCGTTATTTACAGAGGAACTCCTCGAGCAAAGCCCACCCATCAAAGCAAAGAATTGCTCTTACCAATCAATTATCAAATTCAGCTCAAATCCCTCCATTACGCAAACCAACAGAGACACTTCAGATTTGACAGAGCTCGAAAGGTATAGAAAACTCTAAGAAACCTCAAATGGATGAACAATGCAACCAGCAAAACACTGAAATCGCAAATCCGGATCCGTATGAAAACAGCAGTCCATTAATGGAGCAATTGCTCAGCGAAGAACCTTTGATACTCATAAAACCTGCACATGAATCAATAAGAAAACGATAAGTTTGATTCCCCCAGAAAGAGCAATAAACTTCCGAAAATGTCGAAAACCCTAGCAACTCAGCTAAAAACCCAGAACTAGACACCCATTCAATCAGTAGTTCAGTTTCTATAGAGGGTATATGAACAGTCGAGAATACAAACAAACAAGAGAAAGGACCTAAGAGGAGCCAGAAACTCGGATCTGGGAGTCAGATTGAAACAGATTCTTCTTCGCCACTTGGGCTCGTTCTTCGCAAAGCTCCGAGAAGTGACAAGTCCACCTCAAGAATAACGAAGATGTAAGAAGAAACGCGACTCGAGACG